TTCTTCAGGGTAGGATTGGCAGGGTGGTAGCAATGAAGCATATGTTAAGTGTTACTGTTCTGTTCTGTGGTTAGTGTGGTTGTCATCAAGTTCTGTTTTATTTTAACTTTTCTAAGATACCAATAAGCAATAATTCCCACTTCTTTGCTGTCACTGAATTGAAACACACACAACAACCCTACCCACTAGCCCCAAATATCACATTCTAAATTAAAATGTATTTCTGTAAGAGCTCAGTGATTTCAAATTGAGAGGTCATAAATCCATTCCTGCCACTAATAGGTGAACATTTTCAGTCTGATGTGTGTATAAATATAGAAAGATAACAAAATTCAGGTTCAATCGTATGTACTTCATCGTCCAAAGCTGTTGTCTGGAGAGATGGGCACAGAGAGTGCAAGTAACGGAGGCACATTTTTATAAATATCACTGCAGCTGTAGGTATACTGAAACATACGATGTCATCACAATCTCATCTGTTGAGTGCATGCTTAAACCAGGCAAACTCCTTGTTGATTTACAGTTGTAGCTATGAGATTTCCAGATGGTGTGAATCACCAGGGAATGCTACCATTAATTTTATAGACCTTTGGTTCTATTAGTTGGGTAACACCCACAAGTACATTTCTATCAACAGAAAGAAGTGCAGCTAGGCAGCGGAAGAACAAACTTCCTGTGATGTTTTGAAGTTTTGAAGTGTGGGATCATAGAGAAAATTATACAAGTCAAAAGGTAAATCAGCATCCATTGCTCATTCAATCTCTGTCCCCTTTTTACAGTAATGATAAAAGCTGTTGGTAAACATGATATGATTTTTTTATGTGATGTAGGTCTGCAAATAAACAGATTTGAAGTTTGGGGGGGTTGTTTTATTTAGGAACCCCAAGGGGAAAAAAAACAAAACCAACCAACCATCCATCCAAAAATAAAATACAATAAAATACAATAAAATACAATAAAAATGGTCCTCATTCTCTTTCTAGCAAGCTGTATACGACATTACTATTTACTAATATAAGTAAATTTATCTTCTGTGTGCTATCAGTCCGGGGTGTATGTTTCCGAAGTGCTATGCATTTGGCTTTCTGCTTAGAACCATGACTAGAGGCTGGTCATTTTTCTTTGGAACAGTCTGCTCGTTGTCTGGCCTTTGGGGAGATGGGGTCACTGATGTCCACACATATGTATGTTTTGCAGTCTTTATTGCCACACTGGATCAAATTAGTTTGGATAACAAAAAGATACTGAATGGTTTTTAAAATGCATTCATTTACAAAGGTTTAATGATTGGCTGTCCCTGATTGGGACCTATTACATTGTTTTCCTTGGAATGAACTGTTCTGTCTAGATACTGATGAGTGTGACGTTTTCTGAAGTGAAATGGACATTGAACACACTTGAATGCTGTTCCAGAGCATTCAGCATCTCTGATGGGCTGATGTATGGGAAGCAGGTAGCTATACTGCATCCAGAGGAAATGTAACTGGACAGCAGATTGTTTCTTTGGAGTATGGCCAGAAGTCTGCACTTCCTGTGAAAGCACTGTGAAATACTTAATAGTGGCAAGTAGTTCATTTTTTTTCCCCTTTTTTTTCTCTGTAAGAAAAAAATGGCAACTCCAGCCACACAATTCCCTAGAGCATTAAACTGCTACACAAGGTTAGTTATAACTGAAAGAGGAAGATGTTTCCTTACTGATTATGTAAAGCACTCAGCAGCACAGCCCTCCCTTATCTGCTGTAATACAATACGGTTTGTTGCTCAGTAATGTACTCTATGGTGAGCAACCACCAATCTTAATAATCTACAGCTTTGTTTCCATCATTTCTTATCTGCACTTTTAAAAATCCAGCACGAGAGGGAAATTGAAAAACTCAACCAACCACCACCAACAAAAAAACTGAGGAGTTTCTTTATATTCCTTCTAATTGGAGCCTTCATAATATTACACTTCCAAATTTTTTACTATGACTGAGAAACAGAAATGCACTTTCTCATGAATGAAAGGAGATACCTTCATGTAAGCACTGGATTTCCAGTCCTTTGGATTTAACAAAATACAAACTATTACGGAACCTTTTTGGAGATGAAATATTAAGGGTTTGAGAGGATTTATTTCTGTCTACCTCCTTCCAGAGAGATATTGAAACTTTTTCTGAAGAAACTTTCCTACCATCCTGTGTGCTTTGGTACAAGTCCTCAGTCTATTTCTTGCAGTGTAATAGAAATCTATCTCAAAATTGTTGTAACTGGCAGTCATCCCAGGAGGATGCCTGTGAGACTATTGTATTTAGACCCGCTGTTTCCATGAAAACAATGTGCTTAATTGTTTCAGATTCATTTCAGTGCACTTAGATATTATGCCATCACAACACAAAATTAACTGCTTGGTGGCAAATAAGGACATGAAGCTGCAACAGGGGAGGTTGAGGCTGGATGTTAGGAAAAGGTTCTTCACCGAGAGGGTGGTTGGGCACTGGAACAAGCTCCCCAGGGAAGCAGTCATGGCACTGAGCCTAACAGAATTCAAGAAGCATTTGGACAATGCTCTCAGGCATATTGTCTGATTTTTGGGTGGTCCTGTGTGGAGCCAGAAATTGCACTTGATGATCCTTGTGGGTCTCTTCCAATTCAAGATATTCTATGAAAGTAGTAGTAGAAAGAGTAGATTTTATTTTGTCTACAGAGCTGTGGATGCTGGGGGAGAGAAGGATGGGGTAAGAGAGATAGCTGAGGAAATCTAAATGCATAGTATATTTGAGGCTAATCTCTTTTCCAAACTGTTGTTTAGGATTTCTCCAAGACTTCTCTTAGCTGCATTAGCTAGCTCAACAGAGCCCTACCTTAATGATTCTGTCTTTCAAAGTGACCTAATTCTTCTCCATCTAAACATGTTCCAGTGCTATCCTCAACCCTTTGTGCTCAGCAAATCTTTAAAGGCTTTCCTGGTCTTCCCTTAGAGTAGAGTTCTTCTCATGATTCCAAAATTTCCAGTTCTCCAAGTTATTGTCTCATACCAGTCTTCGCTATGGCATGAGCTGGCTCCATACTGTCTGTTACTATTATCTCAAACTCCTTATTGCTGTTACTGACTACCAAAAGGAAGAGCACAGCAAATTCACTAATTGTTATTATTATTATTACTTTTTCAACAAAATTTTAGCTCACTTCTGTGTTTGTAACACTTGCCATTATAGTACATTATTAAAAATAAAGTTGTCACTCAAAGCTCCTAATAATTTTCTATCTTTAAGGCACATCTGTAAGTACTGGTGCAGTTAGACAAAGAGAATTTAAGGGATCCCAAAGTAAATCAGTGAACAGCGTCAACTCTCTTACCTGTTACAAGAACATCCTTCTTCCTTTATATTGATGCAGCCAGTGCTGACATTGATATCCAATTATGAACACAACCATGTGTCTGACTTGCATGGTCTTTACCCTCTTAACAATTGACCCATTCCTTATTCCCTTATTCCCAACCTTATCCCTCACAGTTGTACTGTAACCCCCTCACAATCTGTTATTTGCTCTTTCACCTTAGTCTAAACAGCTCATTGCAGACCTAATCCCTAACTTGTGGAGATACTGCATCCATGGGGAGAAACACTTCACTTATAATCATGCTTTTATAGTTCCCTTGGTTTATTCTGGCACTTTTACTTGTCATGGTTGAATAAATTGAATTTTGTAGTGTGCTCTTAGAAAATGCCACACTCCTGATTTTAAATCTGCTTCAGCATGATGAATGCAGCATTAGAGTGTGATGCAGAGTAGTAGTTAGATTTGTGGATTGTAGCTCTAGGTTTTATCCTCAAACCTCTTGGCAGATTATTAGCTGAATCATTTGTAGACTTTCTGCTTTGTATGCATTTCATACCTGTAAAATGAACGTGTTTTAACTATACAGCAGGTCTGTGTTGATACCCACTTGGTTATTGTTTGAACAGCAAGGCAGCAGGTACACTGTAATATGTTACAGAATGGCTGTTGCACTCATATACTAATTACCTGACTACTACCTTGTACTCCTCTCATATTTTTACTGCAAATACTACAAAAGGTACAAATACTTTCCTGGGTTGTAAATTGTCTGACAAGGAATCACTTTGTGTGTTTATGTAGTCCTTATCACCGTGAGCTTTCGTTCCTTGAGTGAAGCCATCAGAATCAAAGGTATTGCTAGAATACAAACATGAAATGAAGTTAAGAACATGCTTTGAGATCTTTGAATTAAATATGCTGAAGGCTATTACGTCTGTTTTATTTCTAAGAAAGCATCATGAAACTTTGCTATTTTTATGGGCAATTTTATCTGCTGTGTTTTAAAAGCAGGCAGTAATTACCAGTGTATCTAAATCGATCAGCTCATGAATGAAACTAAAGGACCTGAGCAAAAGACCTCTCTCTGTTAATGATATTTGAGGCAAATGTTCTAAGACCCACTGGAATTTAGGAAGGACATATTTTGCTCTAGAGTAGTTAACCTTTTGAGGAATATGCTTGCAAACATATAGCTTAATTCTGAATTAATGTCTGAAGTAATTTTAATAACTTTCTTAAAAGGATCTGTTGTGCATGCATTAAACCTGGAATAGTGCATCTGATGCTTCTCTGTGTGTTAAGCAGCTAGTAACTATTTCCATCAAGCATCAAGATGTATTTGTAAAATAGTTTTACATCTTTTGAAAGTTTGAGAAAGAATTCCAGCTGATGAGAAGGAAGATGGGAAGGAAGAAACCCGGAAAACAATAATGCTGAAAGGGATACAGATGTGGTTTTACAGAAAGACAGAAGGATTAATGGATTTTAGGTTTGATATTTAGAAGTAGCCCACGTTTTGTTTTAACTGTTTCCGAAAGGAGTGTATTAGGACTCTAGGTTCCCTAATTTTCTCAGGAAATGGCAGGAAGGGAGGCAACACATCTAACTAGCCTCTAGCAGAAAAATAAGCATTTGTATTAACATTCATTACAATGTTTGAAAAAATTGTTTTTCAGATAATTGCCTTTGATGAGCTACGGACAGACTTCAAAAGCCCTATAGATCAATGCAACCCAGTCCACGCAGTAAGTACATCCAGTGATGTGCTAAGCAACAGCTACTAAAGATGGGTAGGTGCACTGAGCTATCAGTGAAAGTATGAGTGTGGAAGGGAACGTAAAGCCTGTTGTGAAGATAGTTGTAGTTTGGAAAATTGATTTATTGGGCTAGTCTTAGGAAAACAGAAGCTTTTTATGCTAATAGCTTTCCTTTTTGCTGAAGAAGGCAAAAGAAAAAATATTTGGAAGTTCAGTTATCTCCTACCTTAGAAGTCCTTAGAATCTCCTACCTTAGAATGTAGAAATAAACATTCCTACATTTTCACATGCTCTTATAACTTAGTATGACTGACTGAACTTGGTTCCCACCATTTCCTCCCTTCCTTACTATCTTGTTGCCTCGGAAAAGGGCCTTTGACCCTTAAAGGAGTGGCCACTGTCCTTCTACATACCCTCATGATTAACCCCAGTTATGCAGAGAGAAATCTGATTTTACTAGTGAATTTCTCATTATAAACCATTTAAAGAAGACCATACTTTGACTTGTTTTCTTTCTGTGGATCAAGCTTAGAACATCTTTTGACTCAAAGTACTTAATTACAGTTACTTTTAGTGTTTATGAATAAATCTGTTGTTTAAAGTGATATTTCTAGGACATTATGGGTATTATTCACTAATGGGTTAAATTATAATATCACATGTTGCTCAGACACACTATTAGTGATAGTGGAAGTGCAGCTATATCAGCTTTTCAGTTATTTTTTTCATTCAGACTTATCTCAAAACTAGAGGTTGGATACGTGAAAATGCAAGGCTGAGTCTCTGTGATGTAGATTGGCTCCAGTCACAAATGTTGACTTCAAAAAAAAAAGTTGAAGCCTCTGACTCAAGGCTAACATAGACACGAACCTCCTTTTTATACTGCTGTTTCCAGTAACATGACAAAATAACATTGGAACTTAGAAATGAGTAGATCCTTTGACTTGCAAGCAGTACATTAGAAGTGAATACTGTTGGTTCAGATTAATAACATGTTGCTTCTCTGCAACGAAAAAATATGATTTTGACCCCTTGTACTTGTAATATATTGTCTTTAATTTATAACACTACCTAATCTTCCACCTTTTTCCCCACTTTTTCTTGACAGAGAGAGCGACTGAGAAATATTGAGCGTATTTGCTTCCTCCTGCGAAAAGTGAGTGTAAAATAGTCTAGGATTTGTGAATTGCATGAGAATTAAAGCCAACGAGTGGTTATCTACATTCATTTGCTCTTTGAATAATCCTCATTCTCTGTTGAAAGGTTCAGTTATACTGCAGAAGTGGAAGTCATGATGACCTTGTTAGAATGGAGTAAGACAAATTATAAAAAGTTGACATAGTAGAGGATTTCTAGATAAGAAATAAATCCCGAGAACATCTGCCCATTAGTTTTGGAACATGCTTTTGGATGGTGGTGAATCATTTTGCAGTTGCAGCTTGAGGTGCTTATAGCCCTATCATTTGATTTATAGTGTTGTAATACAGGCTTTAGATTATTATTTTTTTTTAACAGGGGCTTGGTATTTAATAAATTAAATATTTTATTACCTACATATTTAATAATTACATTTTTTATTTGGCTGAATTTGAAAGTTGATACACCATTTATTTTAGTTTGGCCAGAGATGATGAGTGCCTCAGTTTCTGAGAGAGTTGAAGGAGCTGATAAATTGTAGGATTGATGTGGTCAGGTTACATCTTTCCTCTGTAGATTGAAAGAGGGCTTTCTTAAACACTCATTGTTCTCCTGACTCTGTACCAATGAAGTCAAAACAATCATAGTTCCAAAATATTTAACTTTATATATTCAAGTTTCTCTAAATTGCCTTCACCAGAATAGTAATGGAGCCATCTAAATCATTCAGCGTTTTTGCTTAACAAAGGTCATCACTGAAGTACAGACTGCTGACTGCATCCTAATCAAGCTAAGAACTAAATTCAGATATGTTTTTAATAAGCTGAGGGCCCCATCCTTAGAAGTTTTTGGAAAACCAGTGCTAGGAAATACTCACTTGGAATGACCCAAAGATCTAGTTGTGACCACACTCAGAATGTAGGAAATGACTCAGATCAGTCAGAACCTGAGACAGATCTGTTTGGCACCATTATGAGCAAGCCACATTTAAGAACTTAGCATGGTTAAGACACTAGGGATGTGAAAAGAAGAGAAAATACGCTTATCACCAATAGCGTTCCATTTTGTCATATTGGCAGCCAGCCATTTTCAAGCTGTGTCACAGTTTATCTGCCATAAAGAAACTGGTGAGTGGTAATGTATTAATATATGTGAGCCCATGGGAGTGCCCTGCCTTCATCAGTATTTAATTAATATTGAGACTCGGCCTTCTTATGAACAGCAAAATGGAGCATTTTGACTAATTACAGATTCTGTATTCAAAAGGGATTGGCTGCTTCTGGTTCTCATATTTTGTTAATTCAGTGTCTTCAAAGTTCTTTGGGGATACATTTGTTTTAATTGAGAGATGATATGAAAGAAGAAGGTGGTGGAATAACTACAGAGATTTGTAGTCTTTAAAACTGACAGTCACTAAAAATAGCTTTAGACTATGTAGCATAAAGTATTCACTGTTGGGGATAAATTCTGGCAAAAACGGTGAATAATTGAGTGTTGTATAGATACAGGAAGACAGCAGTTAAGATGCTATCTACAAGCACTAAATATATCCCTCATTATAAAATTGTGTGGCTTTAGGTTTGTTTCTCCTTCTATGAAAAAGCAACATATCTTTTTTCCCCTGTCACGAAGTCAGATAATTATTTTAAATGGCTTTGGAAATAGTGTTATATTACTATTTATGACATTAGAACTTAATGATGAAGATCTGTTGTAAATTTAAAAAAAAAAAAGAGGTTATAGGTAGGTTATAAAAATATGTTCAGTTTCATTATAGCCTGGTTTTAGAAGGGGCTCATTGAAATTACTAAATAGGGGTACAATATGCCATACAAATGATACTAATGAGTTTAAGGATGGATTTTTTGTTTTATCTCCAAAATACTTGGAGAAGATTATTAACAAACTGTGACCAGGTACTTGATATGTTACCAGATACTGTATAATTTAGTTACATTTTCCATATTTATTTATATATAATATATATATATATATATATTTTTTTTTTTTTTGTGGTGGTGTCTTTTTTTTTTTTTTTTTTCCTTTGTTGGGGGGGGGAGGTTTGTCCTGAAGGAGTGAGTGGAAAGGAGCAAATTCATCAAGAAATCTAATGATAGACAAGCTGATATTAATCTCAAAGATGTTTCAGATGAACTTCAACTGTCAAGAAAAAATAAAAAACGGCAGACAAAAAAATATGCAAGGACAACTTTTGAATAACAAAACTTACAGCTTGTTCAATACTCCATTACTAGCATGAGCAACAACAAGAGTGGAATGTAAATCAGTAGCTGGGTATTTAAAAATAAAAATATCTTCACTTAATGCCTTTTGAAGCAAGTACTATTATTTTAGTCAGGAGGCTGATAACTGCCAATGCTTGGTCTCTTCTAGTACCTCTGTCACATTTCTAGTAGAGCTAGAAGCTCTAGTAGAGCTTCTAGTACCTCTGTCACATTTCTAGGGTACTAGTGGTGGAAATGTATCATGTACATGTTGTGGTGTTTACTAGATACAATTCTGTTTTTTACAGCTTTGCAAAAATAAAATTATAGAATCATTTAGGTTGGAAAAGACCTATATCCTTCACCAATATTATATATAAAAAGACCAATATCCTTCATGCAGTGAGGGGCCCAAAACTGAACACAGTAATTGAGGTGCAGTCTCACCAGCACCATGTACAAGAGGACAGACATTCCCCTTGTCCTGTTGACCATACTATTTCTGATGCAGGCCTGGATGCCATTGGCCTTCTTGATCTTCTGGGCCCACTGCTGGCTCATGTTTAGCTTGGCTGTCAACCAGCATCTATCTTTTCAATTTATATTCCATAGTATACTCCCTAGTACGTATCACAATCATCTTTCACTGTATTTACAGGTTTTGGTTATTTATCAAAACCAATGTTACCTTAAAGAGCAATTACAGAAAGCATTCAATTCAGACTGAGATACAGTAAGTAAAAAGTAAAACTTAGCATAATATATAATTCCAAACACTTGAGTCTCTGTGTACAATTTATTTAGGTATTCTTTCATATGTAAGTATTCTGTTTAAAACAAAAAGTCAAAATAACTTAAATGTATGGAAAGAGAAGTAATTCAGAAGCATAAGTAATCAGATTCTTGAATGGTTATGAGCTTGACATAGATTAACTGCACTTGGAGCATGTCAAAGAAGACAAAACTTGATGCTGTGACTGTGTCACGCCTGTTTGTCAGTATTGAATGCACATACTCAGATCTTGAAAAAATAAAAATAAATTGTTCAGTGAAACTTTGAGTTCTCTGGAGCAGTTAAGAGGAAACAAGGTTTGTATCTGGTTTTAGTATTTTCTTAATGAATGAAAACATAATTTTCTGAGTATGGAGGTTCTGGTTCACATGTAGAAAATATTATGGCAAGTCAGCATTTTTAGTAAGTAGCCCTATCTTTTCTTGCTGCTGGCACCTTTTCTGAATAGTTTAGATGAAGGAGGTTGGCCAATGTGCACTACAGCAATTGTTATATGAAATAATTTTTTGTACTTGGACTTTGTTAGGTTCCAGACCTTCACCAACCAGTAGCTCATAACATTCTTGGCATGCAGCAGCTGTAGTGGACGTAGTCCTTTGAAGAGTATCAGGTGTCACGGTAGCAGATTTCAATTGACTGTTCATATTCTGTTCTTCTTGGTAAATTTGTTGGTTATTACATTAATCGATTCTTCCATTGTTTTGCTTTGTGGTCACCAACAAGCTTCAGATAATGTCTCAGATTTATAGTGTGTATTTCTGCATATGTTGATTGATTGTTTCATCATGGATTTATGGTTTTATAGATCTGTTACATTCTTTTAGCCAGTCACCATGCTGATAGCTATTAGCAGGGTACTTCAGTAAGCCTATTGCATGGTTCATCAAAATGCTTAATGTAAGTCTGTATAAATAAATTCAGCAAATTTGATGGGGTTTTTAAAGTGGTGTGTAACCATCTGTATGTAAGAAGGAATCATACTTCTTTCACGGATTTGAAAGAACAAATCCATCTACAAGAGGCTGCAGCAATAGGCCAATTTGTTACAAAATAAATTTGGGGGAATAGCAGCAATAGCTGTGCCTTTCATTGTACTATATATATATTTATTTTTTATTTTTTATTATTTTTTTTTTCTTTTTTAACAACTTCAGTAAAGATGGTGTAACTCCCCATTTGGTTAGACTTGATGGAAAAAAAAAATCACCAAAAACATTTCAGTATAGCCACACTAGAGAATTAACTCAGCTTAAGCAAAAGATACTTGCACTGCCTCTGCAGGGTAGGTATACACCAGGTTACTGGCATACATTATGCATTATATTCAGCACCTCCCAATCAGTAGTGAGCATTTTGTCTTTGAAGTCTATGTGCATGTATTATCTGAGAGGAAAACAGCCTTGCCTAGTCAAGAGGTATTTTGGTTGTGGAAATAGTACTGGTATGCTGCCTCACAGGACAAAGAGGCTCATGTGTCCAGAGTTCTGATGATTGCTGCTGTAAGAAAGATCACAAAGAGAACAAAAAATGGCACCGTGTGACATTTTGTCCATTAGCAGTGACTGTTGCAGTGACGGAGCACATGAACTTTGTCCGCTTTCATTAGAGACCAAGGACTTCATCATTGTTACTGTCTTCTGAATGCATATTGTATTTCTTGATGTATCTAATGCTCCCTCTTTTCTTACCACATCAATACAATGGAACTGCTGAGTTTGACTAATTATCTGGGCAGTAGGAAAACTTTCAGGAGACCCTTCCTATTGAGTGATTGGGAGCATAAACCCTAATGAAAAGATAGTGTGGGTAACTTCTGAAGAATGAATATAGGATTATGTATGTAGCAAACATTTTGCAGTGATCAGATACATACTCAATACTTCGTCTCCCTGTGACTCAGTGCAATGTAGAAGCTTGTACTTGTACCCAAGCAGGCATTGCTCTATATGAAGTGATTTAAGTAATAGCTATGTATTTTTAAAATTATTTTATCATAATCAT